TTTAATATCAAAGAGATTCTCCTGGTATTTGAGCTACGACTGATCACTGCATTTATTAGCACACACACTCATCTGCATGTTTTCATGCCTAGGTGTATACAGGGGCCAAGCACTGCTAAGCCCAGGACAAAGCCTCTAGGGAAAGACTTTACGCAGTGTGTAAAGGCAGAGGTGTGAAGAAATGCTCCTTGACAGTTTACCCCTTTCATGCAGCACACTGATTAGCAACTGGATGTCTTCCCCTGCACTTGCTGAGCTAAGGGTATCTTCTGCATTGAGCCAGCTCCCATATCCTACAGAGAGGAGGCATCTCTGCAAAAGAGAGCTTGGTGTTACAGTGTGTGACTTGGCCCTCAAAGAGGAAGCCCCAGTGGTAGGGCAGTCTTGTTATTAGACTTGTCTTGGCAGGAGTGCTCCATGAAGACTAGCAGAGGGTGAGGTAATTTGGCCATTTCCTTCAGTCTCTTGACATGCTCCTTGCTCTCTAGCGATGTCAGAATATCATCTGTATCTCATCTAATATTTGCAGGTATTTTTTTCTCCTTCCTCCTAGAAGCAAAGCTTTGCCAGTGGAATTATAGGGAAAAGGAGGTAATCCTACATATGCAGATGGTGCTTTGAAAGGAGATATGGTTAAGTTAGCTACTCGTTCATCGTCTGCACCCATCCTTGGTAAAGGTGTCTTGTTCAAAGATCGGAATACAAGTGTAGATAAAGCTTTGCTCTGACTTTGGTTGCTCTGATGTCCACGTAACCAGACTAAGTTAGAACAAAGCTTTATCTAGCCTTGTATCCTGGTTCAGATGATTGTCTGGTACCTAGTGAAGAGTAGAATAGCATGTCAAGGATCAATGACACTGAGCACTCAGAGCTTTCATTTATTTGCTGAAGCCGGATTTATTTAGCATCTTCCAATGGATTTCTTTTCTATATGTTCATACAAATTGTAAAAAAGGATGGGTTAGTGTATCTTCAGTAGTGGATGGACCTGGTGGAGTGGAACATCCAGTATGTACTGGGGTGATGAATGGAACAGATACAGAGGCAGTCTTGTCTCCAGACCCTAGGGAGCTGTTTACTTAAACTGCTCTACACATTGAAACATGACAGATTTTGGTGTCACACCATGGGAAATAATGGCCTGAAGTAGGATGGTAAACAGGAAGTTAGTGACAGCAACTTCAGTGTTACAGTATACTATTAATTGATGGTAGAAGTCATGATTACAAGGATGGGCCTCTTCTATTTGGAAACCTATTTCTGGTAGAAGTTCCCAGGAACTCCTGCTCTGTAAAGTCCCGGGATGACATAATCTCCTAGTATTATGCCATCTGCTTCTCCATCCTAGACCTACCAGAAGTGTATCAATATAATTAAGCTGTTTAGTTTCTTTCCTTTATGGAAAGTCAGGGCATGGTTCACTGTCCTGGTGAGGCTCTCAAGTCTACTAACACAACTCAGACTATCTCCTGGAATCTGAACTACCTTACCAGGTATTCTGATCTCTAAACCAGACCAACAGGAAATAAGGAAAGATTTGAATAAAAAATGGAAAATTTCAAATTCTACTTCATCAGGGACCTGCATTAAAAGCTTTTAACTGATACACTGCAAACTGTAAATGTGAAGAGCTTCCTTCCTCTCTTGTTTAGATTTTGCATCCTGAGCTATATGCTGCTTTTGTGAAACAGCTACAGTCTGGTTAGCTTTCCTCCCTGCATCTCTTCACTTCTAGCTGTTCTCTGTCTCTGTTGAAGATGGAAATGAGACAGGATGCTCCCAAGTCCCTCTGAGTAGGGTTTACAGCATAATTTTGCAGGCAATATGCAATGCAGGCATGAATCACATCTCTCTTTAAAATACTGCTGTATTCAATACCCAGGCTTTTTTATCTGATGGAACAGGCTGCACATTTTTGTTTTTAATATAAGCAATAACCAATTTACCCCAGAGATGAGTATTTGCTGACTGCTGCTGCTGTTCTTATGCTCAGAATTGCAAACCCCTTGGAAAATGAGGCCAGCTCATGCATGTGTGTACAAACCTGGTTTCAAATCTGGCTTGGATCCTCTCTTCCAGCTCAGATAGTGACTGACATGTTCACTCTAAGCATAGCTTCCTCCCGAGACAAGCCGTGGGCTGTGCCAAAGTGCCATGAGGCGTTCACTTCATGTTCAGTCACACACTAGAGGCAGATTCTGCAGCGCCCTGGAGACAGGGGTGAGATGAGGACAGTAGCAGCCATGCTTCAGAGTTGCTTTGCATTTTGGTCTTGCTAATAGATCATACCAATACCATACCAGCAGAACCAAGACGCAGATCAGATCCCGCTTCAGTAACACCCTTGTGTTATTGAGGTTATTTCAAAGAAAGTACTAAACCAGTATAGCTTCTAGTCAGTTCAAGTTCAGATACGGCTGAGGTTGTTGCAGTTCAGTCCATAATGGTTCAGTAAAGGAATTCATACTGGAAAATACGCCATTTAAGCACAGAAATGTCCCAGTGACAGTTGTAATCCTGCAACACCTGACATCAGCCAGAGAAACACTTCTGCTCCTCTCTTCTTTATCTCTGGTGGAGCCTCCCCATCACCTGTGTTTTCAGAACTGCCCTTCAGCTTGGTTCTTGCCTGCAGGAGTTGGACAGGGTGGGTTTCAGGGTCTGTGGCTCAGTGCTGAGAGCAAGAGTCGTTGTGGGGCAGGGAGGGCTTGTGACCTGACAGTCCTCTCCATGTATGAGGTGATCAGGTCTCAGTGCATTACTCTAACATATCAATCAAGGAGAGGGATTTGGTGGGGTTTTTTTTGCTGTTTGTTTGCTTGCTTATTGTTCAGATCCAACATAAACTTTCATGTGGAAGAAAAAAGCTATAGCTGAAAGGGGCTTTCAGTTTCACTTTCCTGAAGTACAAAGCCTGATGCAGATTAGCCTCTGCAGATCAGATAGCCCTGACCTTGATAACTAGCAAGAGCAAATCTAATTTAAAGTTTCCCTTCTCTTCCTATTAGTTACTCCTCTAAGCAAAGCAGCTGGCATGACCTGGGCATGTTGTGCTTGTATTGTTGCTGTGAGACAATAGGTCAGCCTGAGGGAAGAAAACAACCTACTCACCATATCCTGTGGGAGTTGTTACAGTGGGACTCTAGAAACCAGTATTTCTCTGAAGCTAACTGAGGCGGTCTGAGACTATCTAACTGAGGAGTTAACCCATGAGATTTGGGAGATCAAAGAATTGAACTGAGGGTTATGTCTCCATGGGACATAGGCTTTGGTCTCTTCTGCAGATGTGGCTGGTGTCATATGGGCTTCTGTATGCAGCCTCCACCTCTATGTCTTCTTCCCCAGTCACTGCAGGGATATTCCTGCAGCAGAGAACTGTGGAGAAGGGCAGCAGAAGGCTAGGGCACATCATGTCCTAAATACCAGGCATGGTGTTCAACAGAGGGATCATTGCTAACGCACTGTTTCAGCTGGCAGAGGAGAGCTACCTGACCTACCTCCAGTCCAGTGTTCTGATGTATCCTAAAACCAGGAGTTTGCATAACTCAAATGAAGAAGTAAATACAGATTATACAAGGTCTGAAGAGAGCAGTGGGCAGGCATCCAGCTGGGGTCAGGTTGTTTGCTGCTCTTCTGCAGTAATAGAACACTTGTGATACCAAAACATGCAAAGAACAAGAAGCATTGCAGCATTTTCTGAAGGGAAAGTGAACTGCTGTACTGCCAGAGGCAGGGATTTTTGGGGACATGGTTTAAGGTATCAAGACTTGTATCTGTAGGTATCTATACATTATATCAGGCTTGGGGCTGTACTTTTCATATGAGAAACATTGTGTTTTTTAACAGTAGCAGTGGTCTCACAGGAAATCTTTCCAGGTGATACACAGAGCTACTGCAGTCATCAAAATTTCATGAGGAAGCAGTGTGGGCAGAGTATATAGAGTATGCCAGACCTCTGGTTACCTGACAGCAGAGGGTTCTAACTCATACCATGGCAGCTCAGTGATGCCAGACATGAGGGGAGGTGCAGCTTTTTCTGGCTTCACCAGAAGCAGCTATCAGACTCAAAAAAGAATTTTAGCCTAATGAACCTGTCACGTCCTTGTAGAGGAACAAGTGACCAACAGTCATTTCCCTTGCAGTGCTTGATTAAAGTAAGAATTTAGCAGCTCTGAGTTACTAGAGATTCATCTTCACTGCACAGTAGACCTAAGTGAACTGTAAATACACCAGGCATGGGCATTTTCCACTCAGTGCCTGAAACCGTAATTTCTGTAGCAGCACAGCTCTGCAGCTGACCTAATAAATACTGGTGCTGAGCAGGGCTAATTATCTCCAATGCAGCAGTACCCTGGCATAGCTGTACGGCTTCCTGCTCCACAATTAGCTTAGCTGCGACTTGTTTGGGTGTCTGCATTGCCCTTCATGGTATGGTGGAAACAGGCTCTGAACAATGCTCAGTGGAGAAGCATCACATGCAAGCACCAAACTGCTATATTATTCTTCTCTTAGTGTACTGCGGAGGTGCAGGACTCTGACCAGAAAAATGAAGTCATTTAACAGCTCCTTTGGAAAATTTGACTTGGGTGAAGTTGTGGTCATCTTGGACCTAATTTGGGAGCAGCAAGCTCTTGTCTCTTGATAGTATATGGTGCCTCTGAGCAAAATGTTAATGTGCTCTAAGTTTCTTTTTTTGCTTTTTTTTTTTTAGTTACCAAGATAATGACTAAATGGTGCTGAGGTCCAGTTATATCCCAATACAGGTTAACGCTTTACGTGGAAAGGATCAGATGAGCATCTTTTGGAGACCTAATCCAAGTCAGCTGTATAAGCACAGTGTCCACTTCTGCTGGCCTATAAGGAGTCTCAATTTGTTTGTCTCAAGTCCTCTCCTTAAGAGAAGTTGCTCTGAGGATGGGAGATGGGGGATATAACCTAGACCAGTATTATGTGTTTCTTCTTCACTAATGCTTCCAAATGTGGCTTTTCTCTTGCTATAGTACTGGATAAATGAATACACCTCCACCTTGGGGATTGGTGTCTTCCACTCTGGCATCGAGATCTACGGCAGAGGTATGAAGTATTTCTTTTCCACTACCTGCAGAACATGGTGACAACTGTAGTTAGCTTGATATGGAAAGCACCCCAAACTTACAGCTTTGGGCAAGGAATGTTTTGAGGAATGAACAGCTTGACTGGTTCTCTTTTTAGAGTCCATTGTGTAATCTAGCAGGAACTTCAGCACATCTGTCATGAGCCATGTAGCCCTTCATATTTCTGCCATGTAATTGTAGCCTCTATAGCTTGCGCAGGTATTTAGCAGGATGGCAGATAGGAAGGACCAAGCAATGTTAGAAAGATGTTCTGCAGTGAAGGAGGGGAAGAGAGAATGGGAGAAACAGGGGAAAAGGAAGAGAAGTGGACCAGTGGTTGTCTTGAGACCTGCGTATCTGTGCTTGTGCTAATTTCCTGGTAGGGTATATTTGTTTTGCAGTAATTCTTTATGAATGTCTATGGTCTGGAAATCTTGGAAACTCTTATTTGAAAACAGCAGAGTTACAAGGAAAAGAAATTGTCTTGTAAGGCTTTTGAAATGGTCTGAATGGGGTTGAAGGTGATAGAGCACTCATTGCAAAAAGTGAAGTCAAGGGATCTGGGAAAACATCTGTAGAGCAGTGAAGGACAGATCAGCATCACAGACTTTCCCTTTCCTTCCTCAGCATTAAATGGGATTGTCTCACGCTACTCATGGTATTTTTATCCAGTGCTATGCAGTAGACAAAATCCCTGGGGTGCCATGTTCCATTTTGAGCACAGCACCTTTCACAAGCTATGCAAGATTGCCTGTATGACATGGAAGGACCTTGTAGCTTGACCCGCATGCTGAGTGCAATTAGCTTGGCTTTCTGCAAAGAATTCCCACTCACTGCTTGCAAATCCTTCTGGAAGAAGATTTGTTTTCTCCCTACTCTAGAGAAGACTTCTTCCAGCTCAGTACCACCACTGACAGCCTCTCATAGTTTATCTAGATGCCTCCACCCCAAAACTTCCCACTGAGAGGAAGCCATTTGGATGGGCAGAGAGTCTGAGAGCTCTCCTGGCACTGTGGAAAAGCAGTAGTGTTAGCATGGAGGGTGGCTGTAAGGGCATCCTCAGGCTGATAGGTAACCAGACAGAGAAAATGCCTTTCAGTCTGGTTGGAACCAATTTTGGCAATAGCCCAGCCCCTGGTGCTGATGCTGAGCTGTGCAGACAGCTGCCATAGACTTTTTCCTGACATTGCGTTCATTCAATTACTCACAGTCTGTTTCTTTCCTTGTCAGAGTTTGCCTATGGAGGGCATCCCTACCCTTTCAGTGGGATTTTTGAGATCACACCTGGCAGTGCGGTAGAACTTGGCGAGACCTTTAAGTTCAAGTAAGGGCCCTTTTCTACATCTTCCTCTCTGCCCCCAGAAGCCATCGGTGTAGGGGAAGCAAGGAAAGTCCTGTCCTCTGGGTCTCCCTTTCTCTCTCCTCACAAGCACTGTCACTGCATCCTTTACATGCTCCTGGTGTAAAGGCAGCCCTGCAGAGATTTTGGAGGTGGATAAAATGAGTATCACCTATTTGTGGATACTGTACAGAGTACCATAAGTTATCTCCCGTGTTTATTGCTGTTCTGTCACAATGGACAGAGCAGCTGCTAGAGGAGTCTTGATAGGATGCTGCATTGATGCCTACTTCAAGGTGCTCAGGCTGTGGGGCTGTGGGTCAAGGAACTGCCCATGGCAGATGGGGCTTGACCTTCCCAAACTGCTAGTCTACATTAAGGGTCATTGGAGACTCTTAGAAGAACAAGCACTACTGAGTGAATACTGGGAAAGGCAGTAGGTTTCTGCATCACGTTTTTAGTCTGCTCCTTCTTGGCCCATGTCATGGAAACCCTCTCAAACATGAAAGAAGCATCTCTCCTATTAGAAACTTCTGTTGTGGGATGATGGGCAGAGTGGGATAAGACCCCCAGAGCTGAGACTTCCCTGGTGGTGAGCAGGAAGCTTTCAGGGCTGTTGCCTGTGCTGTAACTTGCTTTGTGGATAAGGTGGGAGTATTACTGTGCCATTTTGTTAGTGAGAGTCTCTGATAACCCCAGATATGCATGTCCATGTTTTAAGCCTGTACTCTTCCCAATGTCTGACAATTTCCTTCTCCCTGGGTATGTATAACTCTCATCACTGTATCTTCCTATGTTTCCTGTTGTGTGTTTTATTTTTAACTAGAGAATCCATTGCCTTGGGCACCACAGACTTCACAGAAGAGGATGTGGATAAGATTATGGAAGAGCTGGGCAAGGAGTACAAGGGAAATGCATACCACCTGATGCACAAGAACTGTAATCACTTCTCTGCTGCTCTGGCTGAGGTGGGCACAGTTATTTTGTTGCTGTTGCATATTTTGCTGGTTTAGATCTGTAGCAGTGCTCATGTAAAGGGTATGTAAAATTTTTCTCTCATGTCCAAGCCATAAGTCATCCTTCCTTGATTCTGCTGCTATGTATCAGTGAACCCTTCAGTGCCCCTTCCTTGTCCAACCTTCCAAACACAAGTCAAATAAGAGATCTTGATAATAAACTGCTAAGGTATTTTAAATTTTGCTTTCAATATGCCTTCAATGAACATCTTAACAGCAGTGGAGTTTAAGGTTAAGTTTCCTGCAAGAGCTTCTTGGTGGATTCTGTGTGTGCTCATTCACTGCCCTATAACCTGTCCAGGTAATAAAACAAAAGCCTAAATGGCTAGTTCTTCCAGGAGCAGAATTTACTCAGAATTTTGATCAGTTTAGATAAACTGTTTATAGGCAAGCAGAATTTTTTTGGTTCTTGCTCTTCACTTATACCTGTGTTTATTGCTCCTCTTGAAAGTATTACAAATGCAAACCCAGAACAGGTGCTCTTCAGGCCCAGGGGTTGGTTGGTCTCTAGCATCAAGATACAGAAATGGGAGCTGAGATTCTTAAAGAAATAGCTGGTCTTAAGACACTAAACAAAAGTCCCAGCCATTCAATGTTCCTCAGTCAGAACATGAGGAATACATGTGGCTGCCTTAAGACAAATGTCTCCATCACTTCTGGTAAAGAGAATGATTTGTTAATCACTGCATTTTGGAGCTGAGTGAGAGGAAGCCCAGCTTATCTCGGGATACTTCTGACCTCTTTGAGGAAAGACTGCCTGAAACCTTTTGAGATAGAACCTGAAAGCAGTGAAACTTTCTCTTCAATATTTGAATACTTGCTTAGCTTTACAGATTTAGTGTCCTTTTTTTTTTTTTTTCTTGCTGTAATTTCCATTAAAACTAAACCAAAAAGGAAGCTTCAAGCCCTACCATATACAGCTATGAGGTGCAGCCCTATAGCACGCAGAATGTGCTGGCTACATGATGAGTGGCTCTCAAGACTGTGTAGATATGTGTCACCATAGAAGGCAGAAAACAAAACTGATATTTGTACCTTAAAACTAAGTCTGAGATGAGTCTGTTTAGTGTTTGTATTGCCCTTCAGGCTTTTCATCTGTGAAGCAGCAATAATAATAATAATTACCATCTATTTATACATAGCTGCGTTATGTGGCAGTAAGAGACAGGAAACTAAAAAATGTATTCAAAGAATTAAAAGATGTAGAAATTCAACAGAATAAAATCGCTCACTGGAACTAGGATCTAACTCCAGCCACACAAAAATCATCCATGGATTTTAAGTGAGTAGAAATTCACAGTCTTTCTGTTGCTATAGCCCAGGTGAAATATAATGCTATCAGTACCACAAAGCCCTTTCACTGCAGAGAGGGGCAGGGTGGAGGCTAATTTTTAGCATGAAAGGGAATGACCAGCTCTGCTCCCTACAGTCCTTTAGGCTTTTTGTGCTCATGGGCCTAAGCAATTTGGGTGAGTTCAGGAGACGGTTGTTCTGAGTCTCCTGTGTAATGCCAGGAAAGTCACATCCCTGCTCTGTGACAAAATATCGCCCTTGTATGCTGGGTTATCTCCTTCCTTCAGAAAGGGCTCTAAAATCTTTTGGTGACAGGTCTCTTTTCTGCCAAGGTTAATTAGCTGGCTTATGGCTTCTCTTGTTCTGTATCAGCATGCAAAACTAGAGCTAGAGCTTTATAAAACATGTGGCAATGTATGAGTTAACGTGTGTACACAAATCTGTCTGGCAGGTCTTGAGATTTGGCTCTATGGCCATGTGGTAGCTGTGTTTGGACACCTTAATTTCTTCATCTGGCTGCGGGCTTGCAAATCAGTATCCCTACAGATGTTGCCCCAGTGGCTGGGCCATGGGTTGGGAGAATACCATCTGGTTGTAGGGACTGAGGGCAGATGCAGCCTTGTGTCCTGCTGGCTGAGGTTGCGATTCTGCAGGGGGAATGGGAAGGAGGTATAAGGCTGGCTTTCCCTCCCAGATCAGCCTTCTTGGGGTCACACTGTGAGACAATGGCTGCATGTCCAATTGCCAGGACGTGTAAGCGAGGTTCCCCATCCTCAGAAGGGTTGCTGAAGCCACAGAGGTCATGCTTTATTTTCCAAATTTTGTTTTCCTGTCTTTTACTAGAGTTTTCTCACCAAATAGAACATCCATTCAGAAATTGTCCGTCTACATCTGTTTATGAATGATTTTTCTCTCAAATTCCTGTTTCATACGGTGATGGTTCAGGTCTTTCTATAATGATTCATAACTGTTACTTTTCAAAGGCTGAATTCTGATGGTTAGGAGCATGTCCAGGCCTATATTTGTGACTCTGCATTTGGCCACGCATCGTGAAAAATCCCCGGACTATCTGTCCAGCACAGGCAGATAAGCTCTACTTAACTACTGGTTATGCCTTTGACCTGCTATATACCTCTGGAAAAACTCTTTTTGCAGTGAGATTGCAGCTTAATTGCATAATGCTGTGGCACTGTGCATCTTCCTACAATGCCATGCATCTCTTCTGAGTCCTCTGATCTTCCTGCCCGTGTTCACCTGTAAGCTGCACCAGGTTTTGTTACTTCCTCAATGGCACTTAGCTCTGAATTTTCGTTACTCCCTACCCGCAGATTGCCAAGTATATTCATACTTGCTCAAGACTTAGATCTCTCCCTGCTTTGCCAGTTCCCTACGGACTTCTAACAAGCAGCTACTGGATCAAAGAGGCTTAGCTGGGTCTATCACAAAACAGCTCCTGTGGGAAGAAAACAGAGAATGCCCTGGTTTCAGCAGCAGCAGTTCAGACTTCATCTTCTCCAATGCCATTTCATGGCAGCCTTCTCAGTAAATGATTCAGTGCACATACTGCATGATCAGTAGTCTCTTCTTGTGGGTTTCCTGAGAAATTCTTCATCAGGGAGGTTTGGGTTATTTAAGAAGTGAAGAACTACCACAGAGCATAAGTCTCTGCCTAGTAAATCTCAAACACTATTTTAGTTAGTTTTGAAAGAAGTTTTGATGTGAAGCAGAACAGGATTTCCTAGTTGATAGTCATGAGAAAGAAACTGGATGCACTCCCTGTGCATTTGCCCAGGTTTAATTTAAGGTTTATACACACACCACTTAAATACCCTTCGTGGTCTCCCTTTACCTTCACCATCTGCATCAGTGTGGGAAAGTGAGGGGAGCTTGATCTGAGCAGAGAAAACCTGGTTAGGACTGCCTTAACCACTCTGACTCCTGCAACATGGTCCCATGATTCCTGTATTTATAAACCATTTAAATTGTTTGTGGGTTAAAATGCCAAGGTTCATCAAGCTGGGATAAGAGATTTGCTCCAAGAACCTTATTCCTTTCAGATTGCTTGTGTTGATAGCACCCAAAATCAAGTAGTATCAATACCATACTCTCTGAAGATAGTGTCCAGGAGGATGGGTAATCATTTTGGAGAGATTTATGCTTGCAATTTCCACAAGGAACAGCCAGTCAGGCCATCAGCACCAGAGTCCAAACTTCCCGTCCTGAGGTTATGTGCCTTTCTGCATGTCAGTACTCCAGGCAGGTAATACTGCTGGCACACAGCAGGGAGATTCTATCATTCTTATGAGGTTACACGTGTGTGGGGAATTCAGTTAGGATCACGTCAGTATTGGGTAAAGCCCATCTGTTTGATCATCTGTTGTTAAGTCATTGTGTTCCTAACAATCCCCCATGTATAGTTACAGCAATACGTTCAAATGGCCCTTCAAGGAATTGCAAAACATTTGGTCTTTGAGTTTTCTGGCTTATGAAAGAGGCTATTTAAACTTTGGCAGATGAACATTATAAAAACCTTTCAAAACAGAAAGAAAGGCTAAAATAGTTCTTTCTACAGTGTGATTTATTGAATTTCCTGATATTTCACAACAAGGACATGTGAAATAGCAAAATGACAGAAGTTACAAATTGCTGTAAAGCAGACATAAAAAAGGAGGAACACAATCTGTGGTTTCAGGAAAAAGCCAAACTCAAAATAATTCCTGGGCTGTAAGTTCCCCTGCGAAGACCTGCAAGTTTGAGGTCCCAGCCATGCCATTGCTTTGCAGGAGCACTTGTCACTGCAGCAGTGGGCCACAAGAAAGTATGCCATGAAGTGCCAAGACATACATGCAGTCACTTTGTCACCAAGACTGTTCTTTGAGCATAGATAAAGGTAGGTGCATGCAGATACAGGGAATTGTGAAATTGCTGTCAGAGGGGTCTTTTCAATGTGAGAGCATGGCTTGCTGCTGCCCTGCAAGTCCGCAATATGATTTGGACTGTGGAAGGCAGATACTAGACAAGGCAAAAGCATACTTTGCTTGTTCCCCAAACACACGCAAAGGTACAAGGTTGGCTGCCATGGGTTCAAACATAGCCATGTAAGAATAGGATCACTGCTTGATGTGTAGCCATATGGTGAGTGTACAGTGCCCGAGGGCAGCTTCTTTACAGAAGACAGCAGTAACTAGATGGCCAGAGGGAGGGTGAAGGTTTTCTGCTTTAAGATTCTTCTCCAGTCTGGCGATATGTCTCTGTGTTGAGTATAAGGATCACACCATGTCACTGCAGCTTAAAGACTCCAAAAAAGCTTTTGCTGCTTAGCCCATTCACAAACAGAAAATGACTCATTTGACTTCCCACCAGCAATTTTCTGTGCTTCTGAAGTTTCCTAAGCTAAGCTATGGAGCTCTGTTCTTACCGGAGTGATGACAGTTGCTACAGCATGTCTCAGAAAAGGGCAAACCACCACGGGAAGGGATAAAACAGTTTTGAATCAGCACCAGAACTGGAAGATAAGTGGAATGACTCAAGGAAACCATTCCTCCTTTCAACAGTGTGATTACTGCCAAGCAACCGGAATGATCCCTATTTAAGGAAACTCTTCAGTGTTTTGCTATAGGACGTATGACATACAATTAATGAAGAAGTGTGGCTTCTTA